GGCAGTGTTAACATTAAAACAGAGATGTTAAGACTGACAAAACAGACTCTTAGTTGCAATAAGATACTGAAAGGTGACAATGTGCTGGCGGCCCTCGCTCGCTCTCAGCGCCTCCTCGGCCTTGGTGTCCACTCTGGCCACACTTGAGGAGCCCTTCAGCCCACCACTGCACCCTGGGAGCCCCTCTCTGGGCTGGCTGAGGCCGGAGCCAGCACCCTCTGTTTGTGGGAAGGTGTGGAAGGAGAGGCGCAGGCAGGAACTGGGGCCGCGCTCGGGGCTCTCAAGGGCCAGCATGAGCTCCGGGTGGGCGCCAGCTCAGCAGGCCCCACACTCGGAGTGGCCAGCCGCTGGGCAGTGAGGGGCTTAGCACCTGGGCCAGCAGCTGCGGAGGGTGCGCCTGGTTCCCCAGCACTGCCGGGCTGCCCACACAGAGCTTGAATTCTCGCCAGGCCTCAGCTGCCTCCCCAGGGGGCAGGGCTCAGGACCTGCAGCACACCATGCCTGAGTCCCGACCCCACACGCCGCCTCTCCCCTCCCCCCTCCCCCCTGTCTCTCCCCCCCCCCCTCACCTCCCCCCTCCCCCCACCTCGCCTCTCCCCTCCCCCTCCCTCTCCCGTCTGCTCCCCCCTCCCCCCGCCTCCCCCCACCCGCCTCTCCCCCACCCGTCTCCCAGCCCGCCCACGGTGGGCTCCTGGGTGGCCCGAGCCTTCCCAATGGGCACCTGAGCCCTCCCTACGGGTGCTGCTGCCTGCTCCATGGCACCCAGTCCCATTGACCACCCAAGGACTGAGGAGTGCAGGTGCCTGTGGTGTGGGGCTGGCAGGCTCCTCTGCCCGTGGCCCTGGCACGGGATCCACTAGGCAAGCCAGCTGGGCTCCTGAGTCAGGTGGGGACTGGGAGAACTTATATGTGGAGCTAGAGGACTGTAAAAGCACCAATCAGTGCTCTGTGTCTAGCTAATCTAGTGGGGACTTGGAGAACTTTTATGTCTAGCTAGAGGATTGTAAATGCACCAATCAGCACTCTGTGTCTAGCTCAGGGATTGTAAACGCACCAATCAGCACCATGTCAAAACAGACCAATCAGCTCTCTGTAAAATGGACCAATCAGCAGGTTGTGGGTGGGGCTGAGCCAGCAGCTGCAACTCACTGGGGTCCCCTTCCACACTGTGTAAGTTTTGTTTTTTCGCTCTTTGCAATAAATCTTGCTGCTGCTCATTCCTTGGGTCCACACTGCCTTTGTCAGCTGTAACACTCACTGTGAAGGTCTGCAGCTTCACTCCTGAGGCCAGCGAGACCATGAACCCACCAGGAGGAATGAACAACTCCGGACAGGAGGAACAAACACCTCCAGATGCACCACCTTAAGGGCTGTAACGCTCACCGTGAAGGTCTGCAGCTTCGCTTCTGAAGCCAGTGAGATCACGAACCCACCAGAAGGAAGAAACTCCGAACATGTCCGAACATCAGAAGGAACAAACTCCAGACACACCATCTTTAAGAACTGTAACACTTACCGTGAGGGTCCGCGGCTTCATTCTTGAAGTCAGTGAGACCCAGAACCCACCAATTCCGGACACAATACCAAATTCCAACATTACTCTGGTGTAGCATCATATGAAAGATAACAGGCCCTGAAAGATATCAAAGTATTTTACCCTCAAATATGTTTATTTGACATATTCTGAAACAGCCCTGTAAACTGTCTCTTGTGGGAGAAATTTGCATTCTGTAGAAAATCTCCTTTCCTTATTAAGTTTTTTTTTCTGGAGATTCTGACACCTTTTAAGGTCTGTTAAGAGACATTCACCATTTATACTCTCTGAAACCTGCTACCTGGAGTCTTCATCTACATAACAAGAGCCTGGGCTTCCACAACCCTGTTATCTAAACTCAAGCATTTCTTTATGCTGAATTCAACTCTTCAGGCAGGGCTTAACTCTTTCAATGAATCACCAATCAGGAAATCTCTGAATCCACCTATGAGCTGGAACCCCTGCCCCATCCCCTCCTATCCCTCTCCCCCACTTGGAGATGTCCTGCCTTTCTGAGCCAAACCAATGTATACCTTACATATATTGATTTATGTCTTTGCCTGTAACTTCTGTCTTGCTAAAATGTGTAAACCAAGCTATAACTCAAGCAACTTGGGCACATGTTCTCAAGACCTCCTGAAGCTTTGTGACAGGCCATGGCCCTTAACCTTGGCAAAATAAACCTTTAAATTGATTGAGACATGTTTCAGATACTTTTAGAAGTCTAATGAACTTCTACCCTACCTAAAATAAATTTCTGGCTGGGTGCGGTGGCTTAAGCCTGTAATCCCAACACTTTGGGAGGCCAAGGCGGGCAGATCACGAGGTCAGGAGATTGAGACCACCCTGGCTAACACAGTGAAACCCTGTCTCTACTTAAAAAAAAAAAAAAAAATACAAAAAATTAGCCGAGTGTGATGGTGGGCACCTGTAGTCCCAGCTACTCGGAAGGCTAAGGCAGGAGAA